CCCCCTAGGCCTCACGTACGCAGACGTCAAAGTCTAAACTGGCATCATGCCAACTCCAGATTTAAGCTGACCAGTGAGTTGTAGAGAGCTGCAATTTTGCAGCGCTACTTGTCGTCTAATGTTGTGCCCCTGAAAGTAAGTTGAGCTTTCCAGCCCCTTTACATCTCACGTACTGTTATGTGAAAATTTCACGCACGCACTTTTGTAATTTCAGAACTGAAGCTGCTGGAGGACTGGAACTTTCTGATCATAACCGATGGCGGCTTTTGGCCAGATGGACCCAAAAACGACTTGCACATCGTTTTCATGTCCTACGTACACATGCGTGAAATTTGACGTAACTTCGCAATCAAAACAACTAGAGCGCTGAAATTCTCCGGGCGTTGCTCAGGACAGTGTTTGAGCAACCGCAAGCGAAGAAGCATTCAAGTTGCCAGTCACGTACGAACACTTTTAATTCGATGTAACTCTGCAACTGATACATCGGGAGTGTTGGACTTTTTGGACTTGGATTGGGAGTCATTGTAATAATTTCTAACAGTTGTGGTGGCTACTCTTAATTCTCTTAGCTAGAAGCATCTGCAGGAAAAACCAGCGCCATTAGAACAAAAACATGCTGGGGAACTGCGCAAAAAACGCATCTTCGCACCTGCAGCCAGTGCGCTTTCGACTAAGTTGCTAAACTATACAGTACGTAAATTCACCAAGCACACACAGTTATCGATATTTTGCCATGATGATTTTTTGCGCAATTCAAAGCATGGAAAGTGCCCAGATTTCAGATTTATAGCTTTTTATGTGATTTTGCATTTATGCAATGCAGAAAATGCATATTACTGCTTGTGTGCGTGTCTGTGTGTGTGTGTGTGTCTGTGTGTGTGTATCTGTGTGTCTGTGTATGCGCTGTGCACCTGTACCGATTTTTCATTTCGAGATCTACAAAAGTTACAGAGCTGAAAGATTGGGAATGTGCGGGCCCCCATCTCAAAAATAGGCGCTTTCACCCGCGTGGTACCCACGTACGGACCAGCCAAAGTTTTTTACGGATAAGTCGCTAACTCGAGAACCTGAAAAGCTGGAAGGCTGGAATTTTATGTGGATGTTCCCCGTTTACGTACGTATCAATTCCAGACACCGGATGTGCGTGGCACCCACATACGGATATGTGAAAATTTTTTACGGGTAAGTCGCTAACTCGTAAACTAGGAAAGCTAGAAAGCTGAAATTTTAAGGGGGTGTTTTCTAACAGTCCTGGCGGCCAGTTTTAATTCGTTCAGCTAGAAGCATCTGCAGAAAAAACCGGTGCTGTTAGCGACAAAAACCTGTAGGGAACTATGCAAAAAACTTATCTTTGCATCGACAGTCGGTGCGCTGGCCCTTTATTTTTTCATTTATATGGCGTAAGATTCTCATCCCCAGCGAGCTTAAGAAGCTGATATTCGGTCGCTTAGCACGCATTTGAGTTCAGTAAAACCACAACTTTTCAATCGCGATTTTACTGAACCTCTCGTATCAGCTTAATTCTCACGTAAGCAACTTTAAAGAGAGCCACTTGTTGGACTATGATCTAAATCGTGGTGAAAATGCTGTCAGCGAAAAATTTACAACAGTGCGCATCTGCCAACCTTTAGCAAACTGAATAATTTCATGTTTGACGAGCAAATAAGAATGAAACATGAACACTCACAAAGCTGGCAACTTTGTGATAAATATACAGTATGCATTTCTGCATAATATACAAAACTGCATGAAAATGGCAAAAAGCAACAGCCTGGGGACCATTCACTACATGCACTTCCTGAGAAAATGAGTGGGTGCACGCGCTCGTTGTCACTCATGTCTGATCTATGGTACACAGTTTTTTGACAGCTAGCTTCTTAAATGATCGGTAAACTGGTACAGCTACGCTTGAACAAAAAGCAGAAAGGAACTTACTTCGCGCATAATTTTCAATAGTTTTTTGTTGCTGCACACAGCATTCACGGCTGTTTGAGCTGCATCAGTGGGCGCTGCTGAAGTTTCCTGCTGCGTAACGTCCCGCTTTCTTCTTACGGTACACGTTGTTGTACAAGTGCTGCAGCAGGTGTTTTGGACAACTGGTACCGGGACTGGAACGTTTTGAACTACTGGTACACGAACTGGTTGTGGCACAACAACAGGTTTTGGAATCACTGGGTGCTGAAATAAAATTAATAAACAAAAGCGAGCGCGAAGGATCCGGTGCGATTATGCGTTTTTACGACAAGCTGCTGCAGGTTTCTAGTCGTTGAGTGTGAGGTTGTGAGCAGTAGTATGAGATAGGACTCTGACCGAAGCTTGATAAGACACAGTGCATGATAAATTAGTCGTTCAAAATGTCATGTTTGTATTTTGTTTCTTATCAGGTTATCCAACGCGATTTTAAGTCTGAGATTCTAGGCCAAGACAGAAGAAGGGATCTGAGATTTTAGGCTTTCAATTTTGTAAACGATCACTGTCAAAGCAAGCTTGAATGGCTCTAGAATTATGAAATATTTCTGAAATTTTTCTTGGTGCTTAGGTTTGAAATGTCGGTAAAGTGTAAATTGTTTTTTGGGTTTTTGTGGTAGCCCACGATCGAGGACTTCCTGCGCAGAATTTCGAGCCTCTATTCTTTCTAGTTTTGGGCAATAAATAATTTTTATCTGAAGTCGAAGGACAGGCTACAGAATGATCTGAAATTTAATAATTTGTTTAGCCTTGTGTATGATTCACAAACTTTTTCACAAAGCTCAAAAATTATAACTTTTCAAATTCCGGCATCGAAACATATCCGAAATTGGACTTCAGTCGAAACGCAGAGCAGACTGGGAATTGAATTCAGTTCTTTTTTGTGCCTATGTTTTGATCAAGTAAAATGCATGAAATGTTCAAAACGTACTATGCATGGTGGACATGGTTGTGGCGGTGGCGGTGGTGGACATGGTGGCGGTGGTGGACAAATACGTGGTGGACAAATAACCGGAGGTGGACATGGCTGGGGAACTGGGCAAGGGCATGAACATGCGCATGGTGTAGCATCCGTGGCAGTATCAAGCAGAAGCAACGTGTAAAGTACGAACAAAGCGATGTAGTAGTAGTAATGGTGGCGGAACATTTCCTGAAATATCAGATTTAAAACAAGCAAAACTTTTGATGATTGCCCAGGTTGGAGCCAGATTTGACCAGTTCGTTAAATGATTTTAATATTTGCCACTTTTAAGAGGAGAGGAGGCTCGCTTCCATTAGGTGCGAATTAGCCGCTCTGCTAACTGTCGCTTTTTTTTCGGTGCTGAATAGTGCAAATGAGTGCCTGAATGTGTGCTGCAGTTTAGTTTTTGACCCTCACCAGTTTGCGTTATTAGAACGATTTAAACGTGTTTATTAGGGGTGCGCTTCGAAACGCATTTATTCAGCAACTAATGTAAAAAATTAATATCAAACAGAATGCCTTATCTAAAAAAACACGCAGATTTTGTGCATCTAAAATCAGTGAGCTGGAGGGAGCTTTTGTAATAGATATAAAGAAAATCCATTGTTTTTAGTATTACTAGTAGCTCAGTTAGCGAAATGATAAACATGAAATCTAATTGCCTCAAATAAAATCTGCTAAAGATACCAGTTCCTGCAAAAAATTGACTAATGTTATTATTCATACGTAGTTTACTGCATGGATTCGTGGCTGCGGCTAAAAATTCTTTTCACTTTCTTCCTAACCTTTTCCCACAACAAAAGAAAGAAGAAAACCAGAGCAGAATGCTATTTTCAACCTTAAGGGCTATAGCAATGTGAGCCTTCGAAACTCTAAAATATAATCTAAAACAAGCTCTGGATCGCTTTTTTGGCTAAATCTACAGAAATAATTTGGGCAAGAATTTGTTCTCAAACTAAAACTTTAATTTTATCTGTAAAATCACTAACAATCTTATGCCAGATTGGAAAAATAGTCTTGATCCTGACCCCCACCAAATACAGTCCTGGACTGTATCGCTAGTTTTGTTCCTTTGTAAAATACGCTCATTTTTATACTCAGATATTCACTGCTTAGTCACTGTCGCTATATTACTCGACGTACAAGTTATATTATGCTAAATCAAAAAGCGGAAAGCTTCCTGAAAAACTGCATTCCTTCCTTACGGTTGAACGATTCGCCGAATTATGTAACTTCTTTTGTAAACAAGTTAAAAAGTGGTAGAGTTACAGAGGCAGCATGAAGAATGTAGGGAAGGGGAGAGGAGTGACGTGTACCATTGGTGGTACTTAGATACTGCTCTTTTAGCCTGAATCATCAGTTACGGTTACCACCTTAACTTCGGTAAGGAACGCATGTAATTATTTGGCAAAACATTGCTTGCGGAACCAGTTTCCTTCCTGCCAGCACTGTAAATTTTTTTGAAAGGTAAAATTGGATTACTCAGAATTTGACAAAAACATCTTCAGCAAATTCGGAGTTACTGATTTGTTAGTTTCTCACGGTGCAAAATGTTTATAAAATGGAAGGAATATAAAGTAGAAGTTCATACTTTTGAGTTTTTGTAAATTTTTGCATTGCTTGAATGATGCAAAAATGCGTTTTTGTGTGATCAAGCGTATTTGCGTCTGACTACATGATTTAGCTTATGACCTAAAAAAGCTGGGAAACTAAAATTGAGAGATTTTATTTCCAAGGTATGTGAGAGCCCTAAGTCTGAAATCAACTTACAGATTACTCTGTATCCAACTTTACAACTTCAGGGCTCACTGCAGTTAATTTCTGACTGCAGTGGGACGAGGGCTCTGGACAGTAGCACACTGTTATTTAAACAGTTCAAATCAGTCCTAAAGATCACTGCTGACATAAAGGCAGTGTTTTCAGATCATCCTTGCAGTTATGGAGCTAGGCAAGCCACAGCCCTGAAACTAACGGGTTATAAATCATTACGTAAGGTAGCATGAATAAAAAATCGAGTTTTGAAACCAACTGTTTCCTGAACTGTGGCCGTGTATGAGTGGTGATATTACTTTGAAAAGATGAAAGTGCTAGGTAACCGCGCAGCAAGGCTTTTTTTGGTCGCAAAAAAGTCAACATTCTTTCATTCGGAGTGGAGAGAGATGAGTGCAATTAAACACTTGTAAAGTTTTGCTCAGGATACCAAAAAATGGCGAAATACTAATTCGAATTGTGATCAAGTGTTGCTGGTATGAAGCTCTAGAAATCAATGAGATTAAGCCACTGCATCATGAGATGCAATATGCCAAGTCTTTTGTTCCTGGTTTATTTGCCTTCGGGCTGTCCTCCTTGAGATTTAAAATAGTCATCAATTTGCGGCTTCCGGAAGTCGGCCGTGAGTCGAACTACTTTGCAAATTTGCGCTCACTGGTACTGCTTTGCTTGATTTATTTCAGGTCCTGCATAATGCCTTATTATATGCTTGCATTCCCAGTCATTCTGCAGTTTGCTTTCTTCAGTCCATCGGAAGCGGGATGTGGCATTTGCGCACCATGTTCACCATGTGCGGTACCAGCACCATGCCCACCTCCGGTTATTTGTTCACCACAGATCTGTCCACCTCCGCCAATCTGCCCCGTTATTATACCTAAGCCATGTCCACCATGCATTGTAAGTTTGCTGAATCATTTTGCATTAATCATTCGGGGCGATGGACTGTCGTAAGACGTACTTTTTGGTTCGCTGTGATGAAGACCAAACATTTTTAAAAGAAATATTTTAATATATCTCTACATTCAGTTCAAAAAAATATCTCAGTAAAAATTTAGAGAAGCTCCCCGTCAGTACTGAATTTTTGTAAAATTTGTTTGCGGCAACGAAGTAAACAGTCACAATAATAGCCAATGAAATTGATAAAACAAGTTGCAGCGCTTACCAGGGTTGCCAACGCGGTCATGCGTTTTTGCACGGACTTTTCCCGTAGGAAGATCACCTGGTCTGGATTAATATTCTGATTTGTGTTATAATCAGAAATGTTTATAATATTATGGCGCATAGCTAGTGCGCGTAGTGTATTATGTAGAGTCAAAACTCGAAATGCTTCTCTTATTCGCTGGAGAGAAGGGCGACCGCGGTACTGCAGTTTGCACATTTGATGTGCCTGTACACGGGACAGATGCCTAGGCAAAAGCTCATTTTACACTCAGTGGCTCGCGCAAGAGCAGAAAAATTCTCCCAAAGTTTCACTTGCGTACACATGAGACGTAGGCATGCTTTAATATTGTTGAAGTATTTTGGTCGCATAGGGACGTAGAATATCCTTGTAAAATCTAAGCTTCCTAGCTTAACTGATTGCCGAAATCGCTTTTCGTTACATATATCTTTGACATGTCCAAATTTGTCACACAGGCGTGAGACAAAGCTATTTTATGTCTGGAATAATAAATACAGATAACAAATTTCTCTTGAAGACAGAACATTCAATTTAGTCATAATTTCGAGTTGGCATTCTGCAAACAGTGTCCGGCTTTCATCTTTGACATGTCCGTTCATTAAATGTTTTTGTGGTTATACGAGATGTTAAGGTTCAGGTGATCGCTGTTACTACAGGCAAGTGAAAGGAAAACGAGAAAAAAACAAATTTTAGAAAAGTAATGTCAAAAACGTAAGCCGCAAGTCTATACAAAGTAGACAAAGAAATAATTTGGAACCCCAAACAAAGATCAAAGGACTGAGGGAACTCACAGAACGAAAGTCGCCCTGTTGGAAGAAAACTGTAGACGAAGAGGAGCTGTAGACAAAATCGCAGACGATACTGAAGAACCAAAACTAAAGACTCTAAGTGAAGGAAACAGGATTTTTATAGGGACAGAAGCACCCATCCCTAAAAGGAGGCGCCCAATCTGTTTCACGTTACTGTGGCGCTGTGTCCATCTGTTCCAACTGGACACAGTGCCACAGTAAATTATTTACAAACGAATCTGTGTGCTAGCTTTTGTTACATAGAACTGAATTAGTAATAAGGAGGGAATATAGGGGTGAGTTACTATAAGGATGGGAAAGCAAAAGCTAAAGTGGAATAAAAAGGATAATTTGCATATTACTTTATTAAAAAAGAGAAATATTTACCGTTATCGTGATATAGGTATACGTGATATCTGAACTTAAAGTTTTTGTTTACATATAGACGAAGAAAACCACACGAGTTTTCAGAATCCTACACAGTCTGGTTCCCGAAATCGTTTTCCTGCCAAAAAAATTGCATGTTTTTAGCTGTCGGTATGCGACATTCAGATGTACGTGAACATTAACTTTAATGTGTTTGAATGGTACATGGGCTGGGAATATTCTTGTGCAATCCCTGCTTCTTAGCTTCTGCAATTGCTGAATTAAATGTGGATAACTAAAGACGCAAAAAAGCACAAAATCGATTATGTTAATCGTGGCAAACAACGGCACGTAACCGACAGTCTCAAAGCTGTTGTTTTTAATACCTCGCAAATGCATATATCAATGCCTACATTAAACTGCTGAATTAAATCGGAATGATGTGTTATCTGATTTGGCGGTCGTAAGCGACTGTAAGACTTGGGCGCTCGGAAGATGATGAAGTGTGCGACGAAGACGATTCCTTTCGATGGACAACTCGTTATGCGCCTTGCTGAACAGACAGCAAAAACGCATATTGTGGCGACTCTGTTTGTGTGTATGTATGTTTGTGCGTGTGTGTTTGTCCGCCCGGGTATTTCTACTTAGCAACCAAGCAAGCTATGGTGCTGAAATTTTGCCAGTGTATTTCCTGGCCAAGCGCGACCTCACGTGATATCAATTTTCAAGCATGCCTGTGACTCACGTATAGACAAGTGGAAATTTTGGCGGAAAAACTGCTAAATCGGAAACAAGAAAAGCTGAGAGCTGAGATTTTAAGGACCAAGATATTTCAGATTCAGCCCTCAGGTATGCGTGGTTCACACGTACGGGCTAACTTAGAATAGAGAAAAAACTAGAGAGTCGAAAGTTTAGAGGAATGTCCCCTTTTCATGTACGACCAGAAGATTTCAAATTCAGCTCCCCAGTACGTTCAGGTCTCACGTAAGGACACGCGAAAATTTTGACTTGAAAATTTAGACTCCTCATCTACATACAACCTAAGGATTTCGAATTCAGTCCCCAGGTAACGTGTGACACTCACGTATAAAAACATCAAAATTCTGGAGGGAAAATTGCTCAGTTTGGCTCAGTGAACCACCGTCAACGGAAATTCTTCATTTTCCTTTGTGCAAAGCTTACGATGATTTACAATAATGAGCTCATAAAAAGAATCATTGGCAACGCACACCGGGCCAGCCCGTGCGATGTGCACTTTTGCAGTGTTTCTTGCAGTAATGAAATCGCTCGGAAAACCAGTGGCTAAAAATGTGTGAAACACTGGTCCTCGAAGTCTGGGAAGTTAATTGCCTAGCGGTGTTTGGACAGGGAACATTCCGTCAAGATTTCAACTTTCCAGTACGAGGGTTTTACTAGAATCAATTTCCCGACTTAGCCGTTTTCCTGCCAAAAATTTCCGCGGGGCCGCATGTGGGAACCACGCACTGAGAGGCGCTAAATTTAATAACTTTAAATTGCACATGAGCTGGGAACATTTCTTGAAAATTTCAGCCTCCAGGCTTTCCTGATTCCCGAATTAGCCATTTTCCCGCCAAAAATTTCCACGGAGCTGTGCGCGGAAACCACGCATGCCTGGGAGCTGACTTTGATAAATTTAAGTTGTATATGAGCTGGGAGCATCCCCTTAAAGTTTCAGCTTTCTAGCTTTCCTGCATCCCAAGTTAGCGGTTTTCCCGACAGGAACCTCTATGGGGCCGTAAGTGAGAAAGGCGCATGTCTGAAGGCTGAATTTGAAATTTTTGTGTTCTATGTGGACGGGGGACATAACTGCAAAGTTTCAGCTTTCTAGCTTCTCTGGCTCCCAAGTTGGCGATTTTCCCGCTAAAACTTTAAGGGCTCGTACGCGGGGCCCAGACGTGCCCGAGGGATGGTGCCGCGATCCTGGGGTGATTGGTCGGGGAAGCCACTGGCAAAATTTTGGCGCCGTAGCTTGCTTGGGTGCCGGGTTGAAATACCCGGACAGACGCACAAACACACACACATACATACACACACAGGGGTCGTCACAATATGCGTTTGCGCATTTGCATATATGCAAAAATGCATAACTACAAGCAATAATTAGTGACTCGACTGCTTCGGACTTGTTGCAAAAACGAATTAACGCGCCGACAAGCCCAGTGCTTTCCAAGCTGGATTTGCGACGATTGGTTCCCTCTCGAATGACTAACAAAGTTGTAGAAATCGAAAAGCAAGACAGTAAATTTTATTAGTAACAGAAGACGTTGAAGATCATGGAACACAAGTAACTAGATACAACAGTCAAATTGACAAATATTTATACCTGTCACTGGGGGCGGGAGATCTTTGTAAAAAGTGAGGGAGTTGTAGGGCAAGGGGGAGGAAAGACCGCGGGGGGGGGGGGGGGGGGGGGGGGGGGGGGGGGGGGGGG